TTCACTTGGTTTCCTCTTCCTCTGCATGTGACTCTCCCATATCATTTCCACAAGGTACTGGATTTATGTGCATCAGTCCTGTTTTCAAAATTATTTGTTGACTATGTGGATAGGCCAATTAAGAGGTATATGGAAATCATCAAATGGATTTCCACTTTTTTATTACACAGAAACTGATTTCCAGACAGGTAATACAGCCAGTCGGAGACAAAACTGGGACTTGAGGCAAAGTTCCACCTCAAATTGAATACTCTTCTCACTGTACAACATACTTGGTTGCATAGTTGGCCCAGAAAGAATAAGTGTATATCACTGGTTTGGGCCAAGTATATTACTTAATTCAAGTCAATATCATCTTATTCATTTTTAATGACAAAATTGGGGAATCAAGAGATAGAAATCAGCATAGGCTAGTGGAAAGACTACACAGGCTTCATAACTAGACAGATCTAAATTTGATTTTAGCCCCTTCATTTACTAGCTACATTCACTTGGGCAGGTTGTTCAACTTTTCCAACCTGGTTGCTACCTGAGAGTTCTAAGAATTACATGCACTGAAATATATAAAGTATCTAATGTATAGTAGATAATCAATAAGTATTGGTTTCCCTTAACTCCTATCTGTCACAAAAGAGGTATTCCATTTCTAGCAAATTCCTTTAGCTATTTGGGTCTCAGTTTCCTCAACTATAATATGTGAAGAAACTGAAGAAATTTCAGATTTCCTCTCAGGTCATCGAGAAGTAATTCTTTAAAGAAATTTCAAAGAAACTCACCTTCTTTTAAATTCAACAAACACTTAATTGCCTGCTGCCTATCCTAGGCACTCAACAATTCCAGTCACCACCAGAGAGGTATCTATGCATTCAACAAAATGGGATCCCATTCTATAGTACTTTAAGTTCCACAAAGAAAAATCATTATGCAAACAGAAGAACCCTAGCTTTAAGGAAAATGTCACAAGGATATGACAAACCTAATGTTAAAAGTAAAAATATTTTCAGAGTATATCTTAAACTATTACTCTCACTTTTTTCCTAGGATGGAAAATGAGAATGAAGTGTTTATACTACAGATAAATAACAAAACACTCAAGAAATACTTAAGAGAAATGAGTGCCGTTTTTTCAAAGACAAAGAATGAGAAATACACTTTTCTTCCCATATGTATCTTATACTAAGTTTTAAATTTTAAGATACTGGTGTCATTCTAAAACACAGGGGAATAGAATTTATTCTGAGAGGTTGTTTTACAGTAATAAACAGCAATATAAGAAGATATTTTTATATTAAACTTCTTATTTAATTTATATTAACATAAATGCCTGAATCTTGTAAACAAGACCTGGGAAAATATTAACTAATCTTAACTACAAAGTTTTTTCTCCTTTTCTCTTTCATGAATAAACCATTATCAATGGATTTTCTGCTATACATAAAGCTTTTTGCAAATAACACTTCACATGTTTAAAAGACTATTTAAAATCATGATCAGGGCTCCTAATTGGTTTCCCAAATATTCATTTGAGGTTTACTCTGTTACCATACCTGTCAAATATTATTCACCTCTATTGTAGAATTTTATAATGCATATCTTAGACAATAAAATATTATAAACAAAAAAATTTCCTTTTGAGAGTATGAAGATACACAGAAAGGGCCCATAACATTTTCCTTTTATGAATATGAAGATATACAGTTTAAATATTATCTTAATGTGTGAAATTAACAATATAATCATTTTTTAAAGTGATAGCTGTTTTCTATGGGGTAATTTTATTTTACCCTAGATGATGATATAGAATACAGTATGTCCCCAACACAGGTTGTATACAGAGGTCCAGAGAGCCACAGATACCTGCTTTAGGTATGTATTTATCAAGCATAGGATAAACCAGAGGCAGAAGGCCTGGATCCCATTTCTGTTGCTGCTACAAACTTGATATATGATTTTTGGACAAGTCACTTCACCTTTATAGTTCTGTTTCTTCATCTATGAAACAAAAGGTGGAATTATTTGATGCCTGTAAGATTTTCTTCTGGGTTCTATAATTAACATCTGTGTGGATCCTCAATACAGCATTTGAAGGGCACAGGACATGGGGCTGAAGTGCTCACAGGAGAGCACTTACTTTGTGATGCTACTGAGAGCAGCCAGCTTCTGTAAAGAGCCAGACACTAAATGGCTGGCTTTGTGCCTTGGCTGAAGTATATCACCTTTGCCTATGAAGGTACTTAAAGAAGCAAACTATATTCTAAAGAGATTTAAAAGAAACAGGGAGTGTCTGATCCCTCCTAACCTGAGACCCTTCATGTCCTTAGCCTTTCAACTTGGCTGGCAGAAGGCACTGAGTTCATTTAGGCAACCTATGCTTTCTGATCCATATGATTAAGACAGATAATTCTGAAAATTAGTGGTTTTCATCTTCAGTTCCACAGTAGCCCTTGAAAATACATATATTTTACACAGTAACTATATTGTTTATGATAACCTCTAGGACACCTTCATAGAAGAAAGTTTGCAATAGTGGTATATATGGTATGACCTATGAAGTAGGCTTAAATCCTGGCCCTGCTATTTTACTGCTGTGCAATCTTAGGCAAGAAGCTTAAACTCCCTGGTCTTCAGATTCCTTTTCTTTAAAATAGAGAAAATAATAAAACGTAACTCATAAGGTTGTTGTAAGGGCTAATCAAGACAATGCATGCAAAGCAGTTAGCACAGAGCCTGACATAAAGTGGATGTTAGATGGAATAGATAGATGGATCCTGGGACTTGGGGCTCCCTAAAAAGATTCATTTAAAGGCTACAAACAGTTTGCTGGTAGTGAATAGCATCTGCTGGTCTTTCCTCTTCTGAGCAAACAGCATGGCAAAGATTCAAAGCTGAGCTCAGCTCTTACTAATAGGATCCTGCAGGAATTAGGAGGAAATGAGATTATCTCAAAAGTAGAAAAGAGTTAGTCTGGTTTAAGACAAGACCTTTAAAAGAGATATAAACACATACACAGACACCCACACACACATTTAATACGGTCATACAGGATCAGACAAAGGGGATTATTATCCCTTATGCCTTCTCAAGTGTTGCCAACATTAAAAGCTACAGAACCTGATAACTGGATGGTTTCCTAGAGACTGTCTAGTTCAACTCCCTCACTGGACAGATAAGTAGCTGAGGCCCAGAGAGGTTAAGCAACTTGCTTGAGGTCATTCAGCAGTAAATGGCAGTGCAAAAATAAACAAGCCTTCAGGACCTTTCCCACTTGCCCACCAGTACTTGATCTGGCATCTTTCAGCAGGCCAGCATCCTGTCCTTGCTGTGCCAGGGCATTTAAAAAATAAATAAGTAATCCACACACAAAGGTTTCTCACTCCTGCCCAGGTTCCCAAAAAATACAAAAGCAACTTCCACCCTTAAGATCCTCCTTCCAGAGCCTCCCCTCGTGGGACTAAGGGAAGATCTCACTCCATCTTGGGCCCTCTCCCAAACCCTCTATGTGTCTATTCTTTCTCTTCCTTCCTCACATCCACTCTTAAAGGTTGCTTCTAGAAATTCCTCACCTCAAAGGTCAGACACTTCCCAGGCAGAAGTTAAAACCTGCTAATTTGCAAATTCTCTGCTTCCCTCAAATGTTATACTTTGAGACAGGAAATACAGACCCACTTAAGTTTTCTCCAGCTTCCTTGAGTGAATTCAGTCACAACTGATGCCTCCCTCCAGAATATAACTAGGTCCATTTATAAAGCATGTGAGTGTGTAAAGGGCTGGAGAACCCTTAAGTATGCCTAATACAGGGAAAAGGAGGAAAAGGCCACCAAGGAAGGAAAGATCAATAGGAGGGAGAGGGGAAATGGGTAGAAGGAACAGCACCCTGACCAAATTGCAAAGTCTGGATGCTGGAGACAGCTAGCTGCTGGGACTGACTCACTGCTGAGGGGCCGGAACTGCGAGGAGATGGCACAGTTTTAATTATAAGCTCTGACTAACAACAGACCGGTGCCCCCAACTGCACACGTAGGAAGAAGGCAGAGGCTACCCCAAAGTGCCAGAAACAAGGAACTCTCTGTTCCTCCCGCTCCCTTTTAGCCTCTGCTCTAAGGCTTGCCACTCCATGGATATACCCGGAGCTTGCCAAGTTGTCGCATCGCCCCCAGTGGAGAACGCCCCTCCTTGCTCTCCTGACAGTTGGAGGGAAGCACCGAGCAGCGGGGGTGTCTCCGTCCTACCAAGAGCTGCAGATCCCGCGTCCCCGTAAGAAGAAACTGGTAGGAGAGAATGAATGGCTTTCGCTGAGCGCCTGAAGCTGATGTGCATGGGGCGCTTCATGCCCCTAAGCAGCTCGCCCGTGTGGGGCGTCCCTCAGCCCGGGTCTCCGCTCTGAGGGTGAGAAACATATGTGTCACAGCCAAGGGTTCCTTCCCCAACACGTGCACCCACCCTCAAGACCGGAAGGAAGGCTTCGCTTTTGCCTTTCCCCCCACTCCCTACCTGAATTCCGGGACCAGGTTAGGCTGCAACCCGTAGAAGGCAGAGGAAAGAGTAACCAGCCACCCCGGCTTGTAACTCCCGTTCTCGCACTCCAGATAAGGCGGAGACCACTTGACATGGCTCTTGTCCCCGCCGAGCCCGTCCCTGCGCCGCCAGCTGTGGCCCAGGCCCCGGGGACCCTGATTGGGGCCGCGGCGGTGTAAGTGGGGCCTCCACTTGCGCCGGAGGCCGTGGAACCACTCGGTCTCCAGGGTGGCGTTGGCCAGGTGAGGTGCGGAGGAGGACAGGTCTTGGAGCAGGATGCGGCTCTCCTCGCGCGTGGCCTGGAGGAAGACCTGTGGGGCTGGCGCGGACAGCGACTCGGTGCTGAAGGTGATGGCCGCCCGGGAGATGCTGGGATCGCCCTCCAGAAGGCTCCGCACTAGCGCCTGGTACCACTCCAGGTCGTCCTGCAAGTTCTGCTCCCGCGACTTATTGCTCTGCAGCATCATGTTGAGGAAGTTAGTGGCGTGTGTCAGTGTGTCCAGCGCCCCATGCAAGGAGGGATGCGCGTTGGCCAGGGCTGGCCACTTCCCCGGCAGGCCGGCCAACTCGTAGCGGCCGGAGCAGTTGGCTCGCTTCAGCTGGTGGGAGTCCCCGGTGTAGAGGTAAGAAACCACGTCCATGGGCACCTCCTCGGCGAGTTTCTGCGCCAAGATGGTGCCATCTGTGGAGCGGCTCCAGGGAGCCGAGGGGTCCGAGGCAGAGGCTCGAGCCGGCTGCTGGGCGTGCGGCTTCCCCCTTGGGGTCCTCTCTCGAGGGGAATCCGGCCGTCCCTGGGGGTCACGGCTGGCGCCAACAGCTCCCAATTCCAGCTGAGCGAGCAGGAGGCAGAGGAGTAGGGGGTAAGCCATGGCACCCATCTGCCTCGCAGAGACGAGAGGAGGAAACGGTGGGGGGAATCACTTTTTAAATTTGGATCTTCAATTTCTTAACAGTCAGACTTTTACGAGGAGTCTTCCCCCTTCCCAGATGGTACCCAGTCCAAAGGACTTGAAAATAAGAATGTTTCGAGATTGGCCCCAGGTGGCAGAGCTACCGTCGCAAAAATCAAGTCACCTGTGGCAGCGCTGGCCGTGGCCGCTGCGCGAGGGGCCGGCTGGGGATCACGCACCTCGTTGCCTGGAGCCGAGCGGGTTACATGGCCTCGCGCTCCCGGCGGCTGGAATCAGCCCGCGTCCGTCGCTCCTCCCGGCCGCCGCCACCGCCACTCTCATTGAGGCGCGTTCAGGAGCTGCTGCTGCTGCCGCTGCCGCCGCGACCGCCGAAGACGCTGCTCCATAGTCTCACCCGCCGCAGGTCGTTCCCGCCTCCCGACTCTGGCTCCTCCTCGACCGCTTCGCCGGGAGGCGCGGGGCGCGCGCCCAGACCTGCACCGCGAGCGTAGCCGCGAGTCCCGAGGAGCGAAGACGTCCTTTAAGACGTTCGTGTCTCCGGAGTCGGGAAGGCCGGGCGGCTGGTTAATTGCAGCCTTTAGGTTTGGCCACAAACCACACTCCAGCCTCTCTCCCTGCTCTGGGGAGGAAAGCCAGTTTAAAGAGGCAGCTTGGCCGCAACCAAACCCTTGCAGGGCGGCTGCAAGTCGTCTTGTCCCCTGTTTGGTCGGCTCCTCTGTCAATCAGCGGACTGCCATTTGTGAGGCCGGGGCGGGAGCTGTCCAGTGCTGAACCCGAGGCGGCCCGGGGGCGGCGGGGGCGCGGGAGGCAGCCTGCCGAGTCCTCGCACCCACTCGCATTCGGAATGATTCGGAAACCTGCGAGGGTGGCGTGGGGTGGGCGGGAGAGCGGGGAGAAGCAGAAATTTGGTGGCTCAGAGCGAAGGAAACTTGGACGTACTGAGGAGGAGAGTGTTGGCGTCTTGGCTGCTTAGTTAAATCAGCCTTTTGCCTGGAAAAGAGGGAAGAAGGAGTAGTTTTCATTTCTGGCTGAAATCGGAGAAGTCAGGATGGAGACGTGTCCTCCTGAGCACCTGCTCATTTTAGGCAAATTATCAAATCCTCTTCCTTGCAGTTAAAGAAATGATTAAAACCTACTTGCCTAGGCTGATCTTAGCTGAGGGAGTAATGGAGACATTTACCAGCTGTGCTTTAAGGAGAAAAAAAGTCATATTTAAGGAATCTTTGCTTGGGGACCAGAATGGAGGGGAACCTGTGAAAATGTATGCAAGTAAAGTAAGGGAGAGAGCAAGGGGCAGGACTCATGAACTGTGGGAAAATAAGAAAGAGCCTGTGCTGAGTGTGAAGGGAAATCGTCCTAAGGAAGACTTCCTGAAATTGGAAAAAAAAAAAAAAAAGCAAAGCTATGACTTCTAGTTAGCTAAAGGTTGGGATGTCCCAGCAGAAGAAAGAAGAGCTGAAAAAATATGCCAAGCCCCCCAAATTATTGGTAAATTTCTTAACACAGTCTAATTGTTGTTTTTGATGCTTATTAGGGAGGGAAGTTAAGTGTCTTCTGACACTCCAAAAGTAGACTAATACCAGATATGTAGTGTTTTGCGCAGCTAGCTCCACTTCACATATGCACCTCTATTTTCAAATTGCCCAAGAAAGACACAAATAGAAAATCTCCAATTTACTTTAATTCCCATCTAACAAAAATGTACCTCATGGCATTCTAAGCAGGCACTGCTTAGATTCACTGTACTTTTCATGTCATGCTTCCTATTGAGAAAATACTTAAGGACTGGAATGTAGCTCCAAAAGAGCAAAAGTCTTTGTCTGCATTAATCACAGAGGTACCTTGAGTACCCAGAATACTACCTGGCACATAGTTAAATCAATAAATAGTTGCTAAATTAGTGAATGAATGGGAAGATCATAATGACGAAGCTAATTTAAAAATCCATCTCATCACCCAAGAAGAGAAGTCTGCCTAACATGCCAGTGATTAGGGTGTTTTGAAGAAGACACAGCAACCAGTTTTTCAAACAGCAGTCGTTGGTCTCCAAGTGAGTTTTTATAGCTATGCAAAGAGTGGTTATTAGATTTGTATTTACTTACAAGTAGATTTCATGTTCATATCTGACTTTTTGTTTAAATTTTGCTTTGCAATGTATGCTCCTATGCTAAGCAAAGGTCATCCCAGTTTAGTGCTCTGCCACAGTGTGGCAATAATAACAGAAAGAGTTTCTGCTTGTTTAATGTATCAAAGTATACACTATGGTTTTCCATTTAGTTAACCATGTAAAGGCCGAAGTATAATTTCCTCATTCATTGATCTTTTTAGAAAACCTACATAACTAACAATTCTTTAAAATTCTCTAGTGTCTAACTTAAAAAAGAAGGCATAATTTTATTAGTAGATCCTTCTATGAGTAATCCAATGAACTAAGCACATCAAAAGACCTGGATTCTGGTTCTACCTTTATTTTAAAGGAAGATATGTAACCGCTGGCAAGACATTTAAAATTTCTGTGCCTTAGGACACAAACTGTGTGTCAGCCTTGGGATTTCATATTGAGGTTGTATGGAGAGGCAGCTGAGCTACTCTCCCAGGGTACCAATCCTTTCCCAAGTGCACATCTGATGAGGAAGATGCAGACTATGAGAGACTCTTGCAATTCTAGCATTACTTTCAAAGGATTCCCTTCAACCTACATTACTAAACAATTAGTTTAGCTATGGAGGAGCTAGTTGGAACTCTGATGAGCTAGTTGGATCTAGAATAGCACTGCCCAATAGAAATATAATGTGAACCAGAATGGAATCCCTATAAATAATTATAAATGTTCAAATACAACATTATTTCAATAAGTAAACAATGTAAAATTATTAATGATATATTTTACATTTTTTACACTAAGTCTTCAAAATCTGATGTGTATTTTACACTCACACCACATGGCACTTCACACTAGCCACATTTCAAGCACTCACTAGCCACCAGTGGCCAGAGGCTACCCTAGAGTGCAAGCTCTAGAAGACAGTCCATTGTGGTCCAGGGTGCTAAGAAACCAAGGTCTGTACAAGATAAGGCACAAAGTTCCAAATGCTCTAGGAGTTCTGGTCCATTTAACTGGTCTGGAGTCAAGGTAACTGAGTAGGTAGAAAATCCTCTGTCTATCTTAGTGTCCATCAATAAAGAAAATAATCCAAAAGAATTTCTTTTAAGGGATCAAGGTTTAACACACACACACTCCTCAAAGCAGACTACAAAATTCTACACCATCTTGCATAAGACATATTCATTCATTGAACTAACGTTCATTAAGCCTTTACTATGTGTCAGGCACTGTGGTTGGCAGTGTGACAAAATAGGCACATCTTCTGCCTACGTGGCTCTTATAGCCAAGTGGGAAGAGTTGGGGGGGGGGAGAGAGAGAGAGAGAGAGAGAGAAAGGTAAACAAATAAATGATAGCATGTTATAGTTATAAGAACCATGAAGAATTAAACACTGCAAAGTGATAAAGAGTGCAACGTATGGAAGCAGAGAACATGTATAAAGAGATCAAGGAAAGAAAGGCTATGAGGAGGTGACAATTGAGCTAAAACCCAAAGAATGAGGAGTAACTGCCTAGGTAGTAGGTATTAGTAAACCAGGTAAGTGTAAGATAGAAAGAAACCTACCTTAAGTAGAGGAAATAGTGAATGGATGCACTAAGAATACAAATACTATATCCTTAGCAGGAAAGGCAAGTGGAAAAAAAAATAAAATGCAATAGGGTCATATGTAATAAGAATAGCACAAACAATTGACACAAAAGGAAAATTATTTCGTAAGATAATCAAGACAGGAAGTAGGGTTGGGATGTCTATCTCCCTCCCCCCGTTATATAAATACTTTGTAGATAGAGATAAATATCCCTATGCATGCCTCAAAATTAAGAACTAAATTGTCTAAATACATATTTATACTGTGTAGGAGCTTTATTGTATTTTAATAGAACAATGGGTACCTTTGACTTATGACTCTGGGTGGGTAAGCCCAAATAGTTTCTCAACTACTAAAAGTCAATCTAATTGCTTTAGAGCAAGCGAATTTGCACTGATGAAAAAGCAGTATGTAATGGAGTATGGGTTCTTAGTTGTCTTTATATGATTGATTCATCACTATTATAAAAAGGAAGATGTGACATTAACATATCTTCAAATAAAACAAAAGTCACAAGCTGTTGAGATCATATTTTATGTGAGCAGTATAGGTTGAGTTATAAAAAATATTTAAATGCAGCTTTAAATCATTCAAATAAGCAAGGATTAAGACTACAGGATATGGTGAAAGGGCACTGGATTGGCCATTGAGAGACCCAGCTGTAACTGGTTCCAGTCGAATCATATGACTCGACAATTTCCTCAACCTCCCTGAACCCTTTTACTGCATCTATAAAATAAGTGTTCTGTATCAGATACACCATCCACAACTGGAATAATTATTGTGAATCATGGTCTATATATATATTTACCAGGAACTCATTATTCCTAATCCTCCCAGATTTATAAGGTAAAGGTTATTTTTAGATTAAATAATAATGTTTCTCAGTAAACAAAGTAGCACAACCCTGGTCAAATTTCTGATAAGGTAAATAAAACTACAGTCAATATAGTTTTTTAAATATAACACAAATTCAGAAATACTGTTCTTATTCCTGAGCCGACTGAGACTGGCTTTTTCTAAGCATATCTTAATCCTGTGTCTCATGTGCTCATTTTCAAAATGAAGATAATAGTCTGTTGTCCAAGAGTAATGGTTTTGAAATTTCAGGATGCAGAAGTAACACTAGAGAATTTGAATTTGTGATCGGGGTTAGACTTTAGAATCTGCATTCTCAGGTGATTCTGATACAAATGATCTATGGAGCACATGCTGACAAATACTGCCTTGAGCGAGGGAAAAGAACTCTAAGATATTAGGAGAAAAGTTGTTTTGTTTTTTGGGTTTTCTATTTGTTTGTTTTGTTTTTTTTGTAAACACAAAGTCTGTCAACTGTGAAATGTAGCCTGTGAAAAAATAAAACCAGTAAAAATTATTATTACATTTATATAGCACTTACAGTGGCCAGGCATTATTCTAAGGATTGTACATACTTTGGTCCATTTAATCTTTATTATAACACTGTGAGTTTGGTACTGTTTCCATTTTACAGATGGGAAGCAAACAACCAAAAAATAAATTGTCCTAAGTAATTCAGCCATCTGGCTTCAGATGTCATGCTCGTAATAATTAGACCACTGACTCTCAAATGTTAATATATATATTGGATTCATCTGGAGAGATTTAGTCAACGCACAGATTAGTGCCCCTACTCCCACAATTGCTGATTCAGTAAGTCTGGAAGAGGACCTGAGAATCCACATTCTTAACACGTTTCCAGTAATGCTAATACTGCTGGCTCAGGGATTACACTTTGACAACCACTGCCCTGTACCATGTTTTTTTACCATTATAATCTGTTGCCTCTATATGCTTACACGTTTCCATGTGTCTTACATGGAAAAAGGAGAAAGTCAACATGAATAAATGAAAAGATGCCTAAAATCTGCTTTAAAAAAAATCTCTCGTTTGTCTATTTCCAACTTAGAAAGCTTGCCTAAGATGTTTATGTTTTTCACTTAGCAATTTATTCTCATCTGCCTCCAGTTTACCCTTAAAACTCTTACTCCCTGTCAGCATCACTTCTAACAACACTACAACTCTTTCTATAGTCATCTCTTCTGCTTTTCACTAGGAAGACGTGACTTAGGCTATGTATGCATTCTCAATGAAACGTTTTGTTGTCATTGTTGTTTTAAGTACTACTAAACACAGTATCATCTCCATAGTCACCGGGGCTTTGACCCAAATTGCTAGTTTACTCCATCTTCTCCCCCCATCACACAAAATTTATTTGTAAGCCCCAAGACATCTCAAGAACTTTCTAGCTGCAAAGGAAGAAAACACTAGGGCATGGTATTTACGTAGGAAAATCCTGGAATGTGCTAAGGCGAAGCATTTACCTAAATGACTTTCCATTTCGTTGACCTGACATGCAATGCAGTTAGGGGCCAATATACCATTTACTAAAAATCATAGCAAATTATGGACAGCCCAACTCCATTCAATCCAAAGACTGACTCCCTTTCTCATCAAGAAATAAAAGCAACCAAAACCCCAAATTTACTTTTAAAAAATTTGATACTGTAGCTAGGAAAATAAATTGATTTTTTCTTTGCTCAATTTTGCCTCCTTCCCTTACTGGAGGGAAGCACATCAAACCTTATGTATATGTATGTTGTCAGAGCTCATGACATTGTTTCTATCAGCATATTACCTTGGATATATGGGCGCTTCTTTCATAATCGATGTAGGACTTGGCTGTCCTCTTAACACAGGAGCTTTGGAAAGCTGGGAATTTCAAGTATCTGGGACTATTATAGAAAGAAAGGCCATGAGGTCCTTGGCATTTGGAACAAAGAATTGAACAAAACACACAAATAAGGTATTAATAACAAAGGAATGAAGCCAGGAATGAAACAGCAAAAGCCGGGATTTATTAAAGCAAGGATGCACTCCACAGGATGGGAGTGGGCCCCAGCAAATGGCTCAAGGGCATGGTTGCAAAGTTTTCTGAGCTTTTAGTACTCCTTTTGAGGTCCCTATTGGCTCCCCATCATCTGGATGAAGGATTTGGTCCATGGCTAAAGGCTTGGGTGAATCGGCGCCCTTTGCAGATAACCAGATGGTCTATGCTTAGGCCAACCCAATCCTTTCCATCTGAGCCATGGTGGACGGGGGAGCACTGCAGGGAGAGTATCCTTTGATCCTTTGCTACTCGGAGGTGGGGAGATGGCATTTTTCCTTTTAGTTTAGCTTTAGATAGTTTATGGTAACTGGTCTTAGGTTCCCTGCCCCCAGAATTTGCTTTTTCCCTTGGTTCATCTTTAGGAAATCAGCACCAAATAATCTTAAGTTCCCTGCCTTCAGACCCTATTCTTCTGCCTCAGGACCATGCGTATATGATGTGTGTACATCACACACACACACAGGACGCACTGATTAATGACAACTCTTCATTGATAACGTGCAGAAACGTATGGAACAACATGGTTAAACCTGGAGAACATTATGCTGAAGTGAAATACGCCAGGCACAGAAAGACAAATACCACATGATTTCACTTATTTGTAGAATCTAAAAAAGTCTCACAGAAGCAGAAAGTAGGATGATTGTTACCAGGGCCTGGGGTGGGGGCAGGGAATTGGGGAGATAGTGAAAAGATACAAAATGTCAGTTAGACAGGAGGAATAAGTTCAAAAGATCTATTATACAACATGGTGACCGTAGCTAATAATAATGTACTGTATACTTTAAAATCGCTGAGAGTAGATTTTAAGTGTTCTTAACACAAATAAATGCCACGTATGTGAGGTAATGCAAATGTTAAATAATTCAGGCCAGGTGCAGTGGCTCACACCTGTAGTCCTAGCATTTTGGGAGGCCGAGGTGGGCAGATCACTTCATTCCAGAAGTTTGAGACCATCCTGGCCAACATGGCAAGATCCCGTCTCTACTAAAATTACAAAAATTAACCAGGTATTGTGGCAGGTACCTGTAATCCCAAACTACTCAGGAAGCTGAGGCAGAAGAATTCCTTGAATCTGGGATGTGAAAGATGCAGTGAGCCAAAATTACACCACTGCACTCCAGCCTGGGTGACAGACCGAGACTGTCTCAGAAAAAAAATACAAAATCGAGTAATTCAATTTAGCCATTCTAAAATGTATACATATCTCAATACATCATGTTGCATACCATAAATATATACAATTTTTGTCAATTTAAAAAAATAATAAAAAGTAGAAAATATAAATCTGAAGTTACAAAGATCAGTTTAAAATAATATGAAGTTGCTTGTAAAATGTTTACTGTTTTTAAAAACTGTGGGAAAATAATCCAGTAGTGTTGGTTTTATTCAAACTTCCAATATTATCTTAATTTTATTTTATCTTATTTTTTTTTCAATAGAGACAAGGTCTCACCATGTTGCCCAGGCTGATCTCGACCTCCTGGCCTCAAGCAAATCTCCCACTTCAGCCTCCCAAAGTGCCGTGACTACAGGCATGGGCCACTGGGCCCAGTCCAGGTATCATCTTAAAGTCAGAATTGTATGAAAAAAAAACAAAATAAAGGACCAAACACATCACAGAAACGTGTTCTAACAAAACATCGTGGAAAAAGAAAATTACTGCATGCGTCCTGATGGAAATATCTTTAGGCTAAGAAAATGGACTATTACCTAAGTCTGAGTCAAAATAGAAACCCATTTTGTAGCTCTATAGTTGTATTTTAACTGTAATATTATGTATACCTAGTTCTTTTCAAAATGCTTCCTCCAGACCCCTGTTGTCCCTAAAGAAAATATAATGGTGACAAAGAAATTTACGTTCAGATTTTTTATCTAACCTCTACTCAACTGGTTTCTTCTCATCCTCCTCCTCCTCCTTCTCCTCTTCCTTTTCCTCCTCCTTCTCCCTCTATTCTTTTTCTTCCTTTTTCTCTGACAAGCATTGAGTGCCCAATGACAAATTAGCAGTAAGTGTGAATTGTCCCTAACGGAAGGGAAGAGAGGGAACTTCCATATCTGTGAGGTGCTTATTAAAATGTACTAAAACGTGTGTTGTTTCGATTGCTTTGAGTACTACCATTAAAGTAGGTCTGATGCAGAATCCTAACTGCAGTGGCCTATATAAATCATTTCTACTTGTCACTTTGATGTATGCTTTGGAATGAACAGTTTCGGGCAAGATTTTGCCTGCTATTTACCAACAGCTCCCTATTCAGACACACAAGAATTTTAGAGTTTTTGGTTCAAGAAGCTTTCGGTTCCCTTAGTTCTCTGTGTCAAAGAAGGTTCTTCAATAATAGGACTGACTTCAAGCATACATGACCTTCACTCATCACAGTATCTGGGGAGGAATGAATTCTTTTTGAGCACTATACAGAAATAACAAGTTCTTATATATTGGATCAAAAAACACAAGCTAGAGGACAAAGGGAAAAAAAAGAGAAACAATTTTCAAGAATCCACAGTGTCATAAGTACCAAATGTAATTAAAACGTAACCATTTTAATCAATTTTAATGGTTGTTTTTACATACCAAATCAGTTTTTTTTAAGTAAAAAATTAAAATTTGCCATGCACAATGGCATGTGCCTGTATTTCCAGCTACTCAAGAGGCTGGGATGGGAGTATCACTTCATCCCAAGAGTTTGTGGCTGGCCTGTGCAACATAGTGAGACTCTGTTTCTTAAAAAAATAAAATTTAAGGAAGAAAAAAAGGAAGAAAGCTCTCTGAATGTCGAGGTTGTTTTCATTGAAATGAATTAACCAAGAAATTAAGAGAATCTCATTTTTTGAAGAATCATTTGTGGTCTCCAGTAAAACAATATCCATGTATCAGAAGTGAGCTCTGTTTAAAATCTGACTACATTGACAGGTGAACCAAATAACCAAGGGACACAAAAAATGATAAATACTTATGATTATGGATACCCCAACTACCATGATGTGATCATTAGACATTGTATGTCTGTTTCAAAACATGTTTTGATAAATGCAAGCAACCATTACATAATCATAATTTTTAATTTTTTAAATTAGTGTTTACAAAGATTGTAATTTTCAAAAGGTCATGAATGTTTCCCATTAATATTCCCTGTACATTAGATGCAAGTAGGATTTTCCTAGTGTAGAAATAATATTAATATAGAAAATCATTTCTGTAAATCCATCTGGGAGTAGACTCCTAAATTTAAATTTTGAAAGATTATATTTTTTAGAAAAATCATGTTCTTGCATATCAGCATAAAAGTACTTCTATCCCAATTGAAAAAGAAGCAGAAGATATGAACAGAAATTTTAAAACAAAAGAAACATATATGGCCAGTAAACATAAGAGTGACGTTCAACCTCATTTCTAAGTATGGAAATACAAATCAAAACACAGTGAGATAGTTAAAAGTCCAATAATGCCAAGTTATTGGCATTGGACATGGAGAAGATGGAGGGGATGTGTATCTAAGAATTGTCATGTACAGTGCTGGTAGAAATGTAAAATTAGTATGTTTTGGAAGATAACCTGTATTAGCTTGCAATGTCAAGTATTCACCTACTCTATGAGAAATTTCAATTTGATATATATGGAAAAGAAACTCTCATACATATATACCCCGTAATATGTACAATCATATTACATCATTCTTTAAATAGGAAAAAACTAAAAACAATTTAAAGGCTCATCAACAGGAGAACAGTTACACTTATAAAAACAAAAGCAAGAAAATGGTGAACACAGGATCCTGGCAGGTGGCTGAGCTCCTTGGGTGGAGTGAGCTACGAGCCTGAGATAGGGAAGGACTATAGAGTTAGATGTAAAATATTGCCAATGTCCTAATTTTTGTACCAAGTGGTGGACCTGTGGGTGCCTATTTAAAATAGTTAAATAAATAACTCAGATCATGAATGCACCAATGATGGAAGTGTATGGAACCAAGGATTATGGTTAATCACAGGTCCTGAGGTCAATTAAAGAAGCAAAAGAAAGGAGCAGAAAGGGAAAGGAAGAAAATAAATCATTATCAATTTCTATTTCTTCTGTGGTCTTGGCCCCAAATGAATGATCCTCATGGGCTACATAACTAGTACCCTTTGCAAGTCACTGGGCTGACACATCTGATGAGCCAATGGTACAAATCTATCCATAGGTGCCAACACATTTTTGCTTCCTGAATAACATGGCCAGCCCTTCTTACTGTCCTTAGCCCAGTTACCCAGCAATTTGCCTGTGGAAAGTTCTGTGTTTTTGCAGGCCTGTCAGGGAGGCATTTGAGATCAGGAAGGATTTTTCTTCAGGGTCTTTCTTCAACTGGATCTTTGCATTAATAACAGTTGTTAATCACTTACAGTACATTTTGCAGGGCCTTTATTCTGAACTATGGTCCACTTTAGGCTGAAGTTGAATTTCACTTTCTGAAGGTCAAATCCTCTCTTCCCTTTCCTATCTGCCTCTAAACATACATCGTCTGTATTCAGAGCACTATTCATAGGCCTCCAAGGTGTCTCCTTGAAGACTGGCTGACCCACTTTCCAGATGGAGCCAACATCATCCTCTGTCTGATCCATAAATCATGAACAGAAGGCCCAGGAAATGAGAAGCCGAATTCCCACCGGGAGAAGAGCAGAGCTTCCAGCATGGGGCCAGCAGCAAGATCATAGAAGCACAGCGGAATTCTCCAGAAAGCCAGTTGTGATCAATGGCAGCATAGCCTGGGCCAAAATGAAATGTTCCTGGATTTTTACACAAATAAACAGTAATGCACAAATTAGAGAAGACCTATCATTTACCAAATTTAATCTGACACATTTAATAATATATTATGATAATTATGGCACCTGAAAGATATATATAGTCATTCATTTGCATATTTTGCAATAATATTTATTTCTGAGATTCCCTCAGACAAAAGATGGGAAAGAGAAAAGATGATCTTAATAAGCTTCTCCCCTGACAGAAGGAGGTCACAGGCCACTCTTCTGATGGTCATTCCCTAAAAAGGATTTAAGATGTGAGCTCAGGGAAGGATGATGTCCCACAGTACTTTCCTAAAGTTCTTTTGGAAGAAATAGTTAGATACCCTAGAGAGGCTGATTTCAATGCTTATTTAAAAGCCAAAGGTATCAAGTCAGACCTTGGTCTCATAATAGATTAGCAGCAAGATAAATTATTACTGTGGGTTTTGTTTTTGTTTTTATTTTTTTTTAGACATTAAGAAACTATGGAAACTGAGCAGCCCTTCAGTGGGAGCTGATAGGAAGGACAGCTAGATATATAAGCAATCTAGAAAAAGAGCCACACTTTCAGTAACACATCCTAATAAAATTTACTCCAAATATTTGCCTAAGACTTTTACTTTTTACTACTCATACTTTTTAATACTCATTCCAAGTAAATTAAGAATTGAAGTCAGAAAGGCCAGATCACAGAATGTCTCTTAAATATAGGTAGAGGATTTTAGATTTTATACAGTAATTCCTTGATTACAAATAAGTTCGTCTCTAATATTGACCTAAAGGTGAGGAAAAGAGTTGTTCTCAGAAAAAAATGCCAATGAATAACTAGTTGTCAACATTGACTTCTGAATTAGTGAATTCCTAAAAGCCAGGACAGAGCTTTTTAAAAATTATGATAGAGTTATTTTTTCCTCCAGTTTATTGGTTTTGTATTACAATGTCTAGGGAGGAAGCTGGGTTTCCTCACCCTCACGTCTATTCCCTCCTCGGAAAACACAGATATAGGATGAGGACCAGGACAGTACTGGGCCACAATACTAAGGGGTAGGCTTTTAGGCATTAAGAGTGAAGAATATAAAATTTAAAAATCCATCCATCTGAATCAATAAAAACCTCTTATCTGTGCATTGTATACCCATCCGAATTCCTTTTTAAGAATCTTTTTCCTTATTTAAACTTATTATTTGAGCAGCTGAAGTAAAAATATGGGACCAGGACCCCCTTCTTAGTGAGAAAATCACTTCCTACCCTCACCACCACAGCATTGTCACTAAACAAATCAATAAAAACAGCCTCCAATCAAAGGTCAAAGGAAACAAGAGGGAGCTAAGCGAAAATGCACCATTAAGTGGGCAGTTCGACCTGGTCATTCTAGATCGTCTTTCTAAGAGCTTTAAGCTTTCACTTACAAACTGTCTCTTCCTGATTGCGTTTGGCTTTTGTGGTTGTTTTCTCACCATAGAAATGGTAAGACATGAAATTCCAAGTTTAGGGTGTGAGCCTGGGGGAAAAATAGCCAAGAAAAGCACCTGGTTGCCTTCAGGCTAGGCTTCTAAGTCATAGGGACAAAAAAAAAAAAAAAATCATTGCAATTGCTCATGGTCCACCTCAACGCACTAGGCAGAGGGGCCATGTGCAGGTTGGAGTCAAAGTTCTAACAATTAATGACGTGTGACTTGGGAGTGGTTTTCACCTCCTACACACAAAGTAGAATGAAGACCCCATTCAGTCAGGCTGAATTTGCAAAGCCTGGTCCTGGCCACATTCTTTATAACCAAGATGGAGTCATACCTCCCACTGCCATTGGATGGCTCTGAGGTGGCATGCGGTAGTACTGCCTGTGACCAGGCAGGGTAGGCCAGGAACGTGCACTCAGCCTGGGCTGGGCAGATCTCCCATACCAGGTACTCCACAATTCATCAGGACCACAGGGAACACAGAGGAACTGTGTGAGGCACAGACGCAGGAGTTGGGGACCAAGACCATGCATCCATCCTGAATTTTTTTTTTTTAATGGAGTCTCACTCTGTCACCCAGGCTGGAGTGCAGTGGCATGATCTCGGCTTACCTCAACCTCTGCCTCCTGGGTTCAAGTGATTCTCCTGCCTCGGCCTCCTAAGTAGCTGGGACTACAGGCACCTACTACCATGTCTGGCTAATTTTCACATTTTTAGTAGAGACGGGGTTTTACCACGTTGGTCAAGCTGGTCTGACCCACCCACCTTGGCCTCCCAAAGTGCTGGATTACAGGTGTGAGCCACTGTGCTCTTTCTGTTCCTGTTCAATGCAAACAGTGCTTTTTCTTGCAGTCTGACCATTGGGCAACAAGAGTCAAGCTGCCAGTCATCGAGATTTCGAAACTCCGAATTTCTGTTGTTGTTGTCGCTGTTTGCTTTTAAATCAT